AAAGTTCGGGGGTCAATAGGGTTAGTACTATAGTACAAATAGGACAAGAAGAACTAGGAGTAGTAGTAGTAGTAGTAGTAGTAGTAGTAGTAGTAGTAGTAGTAGTAGTAGTAGTAGTAGTCGCAGCAGCAGCAGCAGCAGCAGCAGCAGCAGCAGCAGCAGCAGCAGCAGCAGCAGTTGCACAGTAATGACTACTCAGAACGGAGTGTTGTGCTGGGTCTCACCTCGAAAAGCAGCCACAATAGATGCTGCAGCCGTGCACTTGTCCGAAAAACCATCTAGAGTCATCCTGCACCAAGCAGTTACACGAGTATTGGTACATAAAGACAGCAGTAGGAATGAGATCCGCATTATATCATTAGCAGCTCCACCTTCGTAATAGTCATGAAACACAACCCTGCACCCTGATCGTCAATGTTGAACAACCATGTCATCCTCTCTATCGTGCTTTCTCCTACTCTCTCCTCGTCTCTCTGCCTCCCTCTCTGGCCCTCTCCCTCCTCCTCCCTCTCGCAGACGCTCCGCGCCGAGAGACGAGCTCTCCTGGACCAGCTGGAAGGCCACCCTGTCTGGTGTTTCCACGTATGAGTGTTTTGAATTAACACCTTCTGCACTTGTTATGACTACTATTGTTAAGCTGACCCGGGTTGTTGGTTTTCCCCAAGCAGTGTGGCACGCACTATAGGGTTGTCGTTCCCATGAAGTGCTCGCTCTGGTAGCGGTCTTAGTGGTCGTCCCTGGTGGTCCTGGTGGTCCTAGTGGTCGTGGTCCTCGTCGTTGTCACGGTCGTCGCGGTGCTTTTTCAGTTTTGGGGATCTACACCGGCATAATCAATCCTTTACTGTACTACTTGCAGAGCTAGCAACATCTTTGCTGTCTGGTGCTGATCTTGCCACTGATTAACTGCTAGCACTATTTGTTGCGTTCGTTGCTTCTGCTGTTGTCAGTCATTGTTGCCATGGTCAGCAAGATTTGCCATAATTTCGATGTCATTGTTACTGCTGTCATTGGCGTGCTTATGAATTGTGTCATGCTTGTTCGTTTGGGTTTACTATTTCTTGAATTTTGAATTCGGGGCCCATGCACCAACAAACTTTTCAGCAAAAGCAGTATCCGGAGCCAAGGAGATGGAAGTAAGCATACCATGACGCCAGCGAAAACAGACACTTCCAGCTGCAATTTGGCACATTGAAGAGTTTGAACTCTGAGCCCTAAGAGCCGTAAACTCATAGCCGTCTGCTCCTCAAACTCCTAAGCCGTTCCAAAGCAGCCCCAATGGCCAGTCATAGAGCCGAGGCCCCAACAGTCCCAAGAGCTGAATTACCAGCATGCACACACCACCCACCATGTCGACGACAACTCCCAAAACCAGCGAACTTGAAACCCCAAAGCTCTTCAAGTCTCTCCCCGAACCCGAAACCCGAAACCCAAGATCACCACAGCCTTCACCCTAGCCTATACCCCCAATCCTGTCCCAGATCCTAGGGTTCAGGGAAGACAACTGAGGCTTGGATGAGCGCCTGCGTGTCATCGACGAGCAGCTGAATCTTCCGACGCTGGTGCAGGATGTGCAGGCAGGGGCCAGTTTCTTTCAGTCTTTACATGTACTTGATGGTGCTGTAGTATACGAAACAAGGTTCGTGTGTCGCTCTCTCTCTCTCT